GAGAGAGAGAGAGACGCAGACACACAACAAAAACCATACCTCCAATTTTCATGGGGGTAATAATGACATTAGACATTGTGGAATGGTGCATTTTGGCGGTGGGGCCAAAATGAGTTATTTGGTTTGTAAAAGGAGAGTCTCGGTCTATCTCGACGTCGACACTGATAATTGCTTCCCATGATGTACCTGATCTGGTTAACAAGTAGGTCAATGGTCGATTCTCAATGATTACCGAACTGGCACCCGAAAGGGGTGGGTGAGGGTGGTCGCTATTTTATAAAACAGATTTTTACATGGGCGAAACGCATTTTAATTGAATCCGTAGTTAATTATTAACAACATTACATTTGTAAATATTCTAATAATTTTTATTCATATGGGATCGACTAGAAATGTTATCTATTCTTGCTGTGCTTTTGTATCAGCACCCCCGTGCTGCAGAATGGATCAACCCACCTTCCTCCACCTCGTCTGACCTTGTGAAGAAGTTCAACCAACTCTCTCGTAAATGTCACATGGCAGACGGGACACAAGGCCTGCTTTGTGCCCGCCATTGTGCATTTGCATCACGCATTAAAAACACAACGGAGTGGAGCTGCAAAACACACTGTTATAAGACATTTAATCCTCCTGGTTTACGGAGTATAGTCGGCGTAGGCGGCCTGGCTGGCATGGGCGTCTAGCGATAAACAACAATTCAGCACTACTCATCTGCCCTTCTTTACTGTAATGTCACAAACGTTTAGTCAGAGTTCCGTAACACTATTAACCCCATACAAGACCGATACAAACAAGTTTACAAAGAATAATAAACGATACAATATCATACATGCATGAAAGAATGGTTCATATTTTCTCATTTCATCCCTTGGCAATGCGTCAAAAACTGCTGATCACATGAGCCAAGGAGTCTCTCTGCATCATTGTTTGTGCATGATCTAATCTAAGTAGATGTTGGGAAATGAGAAATCGTCATCAACTTGTCGCGTTTGCCTGACTCACAAAAGCCTGGGTACCAGACTACACATGCCAGTTCCTCGGCTCCAGGCCCAACATGCCCCCAAGGAAATTATACCACAGCCCCGGGTCCACGCTGTTTACATGTCAATGCGCCGTACACTGTACAACTGTCGAGCAATAAAATTCATTTATTTGTTCGTTCATTCATTCATTTAAACTCTGGATCTGTCGTATAAAAACCGTAACAAACAAGTGGGAAGCATCCAGTGCAGTGTTTAGGGCTTGGAAACCCGATTTTTCAGAACCAATATTCTCATCATTCTAGTCATTTATCTACATACTAAGTTAAAACCACACTATCCCAATGTATATATTAACCCTCATGGAGCAAAAATTCCCAACATTCTGACGGAAAATGGTTACTGGAAGGTCCCTGGTCTGAATTTTAGGGTACCATCCAGAAAATAAAGGACTCATCTTGGGGCTTGTTTCTGTTGTTTTAAACGTCCTAAGCATGAAATGCTGACTCAAATGTGCTAATGTGAAGCAGAATGTGTCAGTATCACAAAGTTTGCCCTATTCAGAATATTTCCAATTTTGCTTCCCTGAAATCACATTGGATGCCTTTAAAGCTCCCCCCTCCGTCTGCTTGGAGATAAGGGGGTGGGCGGGGATGGTTCATGACCGGATGGGCGTTTCCCCGCCAGGCTGTTACAGCCCGCGGGCGGATGGGTGTAACCTAACGTGCTGGGAGCAGGCCTTTTTACCCCAGCCTATGAACAACGGTGTTTTCTATCGGGCATTGTGGGTGACACGCCAACTCGCCCGTTTACAAGTCCCCTGGTATTTAACCCAGGTCCCTTTCTTCTCAGGTCCATTTCTCTCGGTAGGCTTGTACAAGTAGAAGACCTCGGAAGGATGGGGTACAACGTGCGCGCTGCGTGGTGTCTCGGTATCCTCCTGGTCCTGCTGGGCTGTGTGAGCCTGCTGACCGGCATTGTGGGGCTGGCGGTGTGCTACGGGTACTGTGCGCCCCTGACGGCGGTAGTCGGAGCCCCCATTTGGAGCAGCGTTCTGGTAAGCTTTACGATGTTTTTACTAGCTTATATATGTATACAGAATGTACGGGCAATGTCAAAGTCCTGGAAACAAAACGTGCATGTACAAGTATATAATATAGCCGTGTCTTGTCAAGTGAACAAATTACACGACAAACAGTTACAGCCCTGGACAGTTGTATTGTAGAAGGTCGGCGATGCGTTTATGTATAATTATCTTCGCTATTTAGGCGCGCATTGTTGGGGAGAAGGTATGGATCTAACAGTGCATGCCACAGTAGTGCTGTAACCTGGGCGTGCATATATGAAGCAACGCGGTGGAAAAATCAGACAACGGGGGATCTTCAATACGTTGAAACGCAACGTTACGGCAAAGAAGAGAACTTAGTGTGTGCAAGTGATGTGGTTTTATGTGCGTGTGTGCATGTTTCGGTATTCACAAACAAACGCTTTCTACATGGAAAATTGGATCTCATAGATACCTTTTGTTGTACATGACATAATGCACGATCAGTACTCCGTTTACTCGTAATAGTATGACTAATATATATATAAAATGGAGGGTATGGTAGTCGAAATGCATGACCACGGTACGGTACGGTACTGTAAAGTCATTTACCTTCGCGGTGGTGTTATTTCGTAAAAAGTTTACACTGTCTAAATTTAAAGTTTTCTAATAGTTGAAACAAGTCTGTCTTCAGGGTCTTTGGGATCTTTTATGTGCTATTTTCTGATTGCATATAGACAACATAGCCGGCCTGGTTGAATTACCCCCGTTTTTTTAGAACTGGGCTAATCAGAAAACAGCCGAAGACCACCAAACCCCCAGTGTAAGCCTGCTACGGAGGCACTCAGGCTAAAATCCACCGCGACAGTTAGAAGATTTGCAGTAGCAGCATCAAGTATTGCCCCACCTGCATGACCGATGACGTGTGATTTTTCCCGAGGGCAGACAGATGGGATACGCGACGCGTTACCTGACTAAAGGTTACGGCCATTTGTTCATGCACCATCGTAAATCACACGTTTCTATAGCGTCTACCAGGCCTTCCTGAGGAGTTACTGGGGCTTATGGAGAGTATTATTCCGCAAAAATAGGGCCAAGATTGACCAGGGGAGTGAGCCGAGCTATAAGGGTAAAATTTGCCCTCGGAAGCGCGCGAAAATGAACTCTACGGTGGCCAAACTCTAGCCTCCACCAGGCCTTTTTATGGGAATACGGATCGTAGAATTCGGCAAAAAAAGAGAGTAAAATTGGCCAAGGGAGTCCGGCCGTGGGGAGGTAGTTTCTTTCCCTGCGCGGCCAGTCAAACCTACAAGGCGGCCAAACTCCCCTGGCAAATATTCTCCTATATATAGCCAGCGTACTTAGTCTGGTAGAGACTAGCCAAACTCCCCATGCCAATTATTCTCTCTATTGGACAATATTTTTCTATTTTTTAGACCCGCGTTGTTAGTCTGGCTGAGACTAGCTTTTCCATATGCGCCTGAGATCGCTCAGTTGTTTGCGCGGGAAAGTGTAGTGAATGACACGACATACAACCAGACAACAGACAAAACAACAGCCTAAACTTCAAAGGTACGTTGCCTCGGGCGAAACCTGTCTGGAGTCGTCACCAGCGCTGCCGTAAATACCAGGTGGCACAGTTCAATTTTCTCAAACGAGCGCACAAATTCGGGTATTGGAGACAACCCAAATGAACGTCAGAAAGCATAACATGCCTCTCCTTAAAACCTTGGCAAATAAGGTGTATCTGACAAGTCACCCCCCACCCCCCTCATGAAAGAGACATTGGACTGTAATCCTCATTGTCCCATTGCATGACCTGTATATAAATGATGCAAAGCCAATGTCTGGTCACTGCACTCTTGTCTGTATCTGGCGACGGGTAAGATATTTACTGCACACACTACGTTGTAATTGTCACAATTTTCGCGCCTTTTCGTGACCTGACTGAATTTATGAATTTTGTATGATCAAAGAGACCTCTTAGGCATGATAAAGCATACTATTCAAAAATGCATAATGTATACGCTTGTGCCTGACTGTGAACTTAAAAAGAAAGAGGAAGTATGAGAGATTGATTTTCGTGCTATACGTTCACTACGTTCGCTTCACCACATCCGGTAAAATGTCGATCCTCTCTTCTTTCAAACTTCCCACATAGAATTTTCTGGGCGTCTGCCTTTCCTCCCCCGCCTGTATCAGTAATGTACACTCCCTTCCTTTCACATGACTCACTTATGTAATTTTATGTAAAAAAAAGTATGACTATAATAGTTTAAAGAAAGCCACCCCTACATTCCGGTGAAATATTCCACATTGCTCACACTTCAGTCACAAACTCAGCATGTACCACTTCATGTGAGGGTAAGCTAACAAAAAAACTCCCCAGTTTCACATGACTCGATAAAAACACGTTGTACTAGACATGAATACTAATTGAGTGCGTGAAATGCCCAAACCGTGGGCAGACGGTATTAAAAGGTCCTCTTGGCCACCGACCAAGTAAATTCCAAAGGGGTCGCGGCGGTCAGGTCTGGAAGCGACTCAAACTGGTTTAATTGCGTGACAAATGATTGGTTCAGGCGTGTTTTGGGTACATTTGGTTGGTTGAAGGGTTGGTACAGGAATGATTGGTTCAGGCGTGTTTTGGGTACTCTCCAAGCAGAGGTTTGGGTTTTGGGGGTATTTTTAGCGTATTTTTAGGCTTTTTTATCGGGGTTTCTTTTTTGCACTGAATTTTTTTTAACACACATACACACACACACACACACACACACACACACACACGGAAAAAAAATTCAGTGCAAAAAAGAAACCCCTATAAAAAAGCCTAAAAATACGCTAAAAATACCCCCAAAACCCAAACCTCTGCTTGGAGAGTATGTTTTGGGTACATTTGGTAGGTTGAAGGGTTGGTACAGGAATGATTGGTTCAGGCGTGTTTTGGGTACATTTGGTAGGTTGAAGGGTTGGTACAGGAATGATTGGTTCAGGCGTGTTTTGGGTACATTTGGTAGGTTGAAGGGTTGGTACAGGAATGATTGGTTCAGGCGTGTTTTGGGTACATTTGGTAGGTTGAAGGGTTGGTACAGGAATGACAGATTTGTGAAGGTGGGAAGAGCTGCTACTAATATTGCGAGGGCGCGCTTGGAATGTCAATCACTTTGGCACAACCACTAGAGATCTACATAATGTATGTTAACTTTCGCCATACAATCGAATGTGTAATAATGCATTCTATGATTTAGTAACATAAACCATTTGGCATGATATAATTGTCCTTGCAAAAACTATATCTAGTTTCGGGAAGTTTGTAATCTTTGATTTTGTTTGTATTCATGTCATTCTGAATTGGGTCTAAGTCCTTAAGAGTGTGTATTTCTGGGGGTTTTGTATATTTTGTACAATTACATATGTCACAAGTTTGAATATAATCCTATCATGGAAGGCAGCAGATTTATAGAATTTCCTCATTAATAATACAACTTAGATCCAAATTTGAAAAATTGCCATCTAATTATGTCAAACATCACTTATGCTACTGTACCAAAAATCTGTGTAGTAAATGACTATTGATATATTTACGAATTTGTAAAGGAAGCGTTAAGATATGAAAATGTTTACGTCGTATTTAAGCACACTGAAAGGTGACAGAAATGCGGAATTTGCCTTTCAGCAGCCTTTACGAAGTCGTAAAGTCTACTGAAATATTTTCTCACCTTTAATAATTCTTTACATATTGCAGAAAGTTTGCTTAAATAGAAATATCTGTTTTCATGCTGTTTTAGGTCCAGTTTAGCCTGGGTACCATCCGGATTTTCGCTACGCAACGCTCTGTGATTTTTTCGAGCGTTGCGTAGCGAAAATCCGGATGGTACCCAGGCTAGGTCCAGTTGCCATGGTAAAACTTGTTGATGTAACAGTTGATGTGTTTGTCTTGAACAGGTGATAGCTGCTGGAGCTTTGGCCATTGCCAGTGCCAGGGAACCATCCAATGGGTGCAAGGTGAGACAGTACATATGTCAAACTTCCAGTATCTCTGTCAGTCAGTCTCATCAAATGCGAAAAAAAAGGTTGGTTTTTACTACCTTTACAAATAAAATCCGAGCTGAAACAGGGGTGCCAGTGTATACAGTGCCATTTTACAGAATACAGTGCAATTGTATGGAATACAGTGCAATTGCATGGAATACAGTGCAATTTTACGGAATAGAGCAGACCATGAAATTGCAACATTATGTAACCCAACACCAGTCACCGTGGTGAAAGATGTCATTGGTCAGGTCATAGGTCACTGGAGAAGAAGAAATTGAGTAAAAACAATATATTTTTCCTCAGTAAACATAAACATCATAACAACTATTGATACTTAATTTCAAAATGGTTTCTTGTTTTAACAATTAAATTGGCCTAAATTAAACTGGTTTGCCCTTACCGAAGAAGGTCATATATCTAATATTCTTTAATTTTGTCTCTGTAGATCACAGGTTTCCTGACGTGCAGTCTGCTGGCCATGGTGCTGACCCTGGTCACCTGGGTGCTGGGAGTGATTGACAGCACCCTGGACACGTCGCGTGACGACTACATCCGCATCGTGGACTACGTCATCCCGACGGCGGCGCCCGGCAACACGCCCGCTCCCCCGCCCTACAGGGCCTGGAAGGTAATGTTTCATCTCCAACCTGTTCTTTTGGCGGCTGCAGAAAGGATATCGAATTGGCCAGGTACAATGCAGTATCCATTTGCCAGACAGTTACCATTTGCCACCTGTTAACAAGATACCAGTACAAAAAAAGGCCTGATAAAAATGCACAAAAAAAGTGCCAAAGTTGAAAGGCCTAGGGGGCCCACAAGCCCTTTTCCGTAGAGCATAATCGGCCATTTTAATTCTACGTAGAGCGTAGATGGGCCACTCTAATTCAACGTAGAGCATAGACGGGCCGCTCTAATTCAACGTAGAGCGTAGATGGACCACTCTAATTCAACGTAGAGCATAATTTTGCATAGAGGGTATTCGCCATTTTAATTCTACGTAATGAGTTGTAGCCACTTGGAATTTATCGTAAAGCGTAATCGAGAAGTTTCCGAATTTAGCGTAGAGCGTTGTCGGGACCCCCCTTGCAGGCCCCCTTGAAACCTCTGCTTGGAGAGTACTGTAGGTAATGTTAACTCATTGGGAAGACCAATGTGGGCTGTCGTTGGAGTTGTATGGCCATCACGGGGAAGGGAACATCATTTTAGCAAGTGATCACAAATGAGGGCTGTCCTCGCGGCCTCGCCACATGAATCTAAAATTTTTTGCTGTGGTCATGTCCACACTGTAGTCCCATTTATCAATCCTGAGTTTGAAGTGAATTCATTGATACAAAGTTATATAAATGGAAGTTGACACAGGGGAAGGTAGAATCAGTCCGACAGTGAGAGATTGTACTATCATGAAAGTTCATCTGTGTTGGTAGGTACATGTTTACAGTGAAAACTTTTGGTCCAACACAAAAAATTCTCTCACCTTAAGAGCTTTTGACTAGTCACTCTGGTCTTCCTCAGTAGACTGCGTATCGTCTACCAGATACCTTTGACCCAGTGTTGATGTCACACTTCAAAGAAGCCACGTGACAACCCTCACTGGGTCAGTCTACTGAGGAAGACCAGAGTGACTGGTGAAAAGCTCTAGGCGAGAGAATTTTTTGTGTTGGACCAAAAGTTTTAACTTTAAACAAGCGAGAGATTGTGTAACTCAGGCTGTCCACTCCTCCATGTAGGACAGCCAGGCAGCCCTGCTCATCGTCATCATTGTGCTGGCCATTATCGAGTTCCTGCTGACCATGATCCTGTCCATCGTCAGCTGCTCGGGACTGTGTGCGGGCTACCACGGACACGAGGTAAGGCCGCACCAATTTAATTTGTTGCTTCTCGGATTCGCCCTGTCCATTTTTTTCTGATTTGCAAAAAAAAGAAAAGACTTGCAAAATGCTCAATGAAAGACATATTTTAGCCCCTACGATTGAAGTCCGTTTCTTCCTAGTATTTAAAGTTTTTCGTTGTAACAATGCAACTTTCAAAACCTATTATTTTAATTATAAACCAGTCTGGAATGTTGACTGCATGGCTCATATCGTAACATTTCCGGCTATCATGGGGTGCCTTGGCCTGTTTTTCATTATTGTTTTGCCCTGTCGCTTCATATTTTTTCTGAAAAAAATCCGAGAAGCAACAAATTGAATTGGTGTAGCCTAAACATCAATGCACAATTGCACCTTTTGTGGCGTGCCCTCTCTCTAAGTGCCTGGTTGTCAAGGTGATCAGAAACAGACACCACAAGTTCATGATCACATACATGTATTTGTTGTAGTAGCCTTGTAAAGCCACACTGATTTAATTTCATGGATGACATCTGCACACAAATTGATTTTTGCCTGTTCTCAAAAAAAAATCTGAGGCTCTGACGTGGGTACCATCCTCAGTAGTCCATGGTAGCAATCGGCAATAGGGAGCCAGTGGTAACTACAGAGGACAGTTCCCAGGGTATTGAAGCTCCACAGAACTCTGGAACTCGGTACGGTGCAGACTGCAGAAGTGTGTGCCGGCTTAATGTAAAATATCATGTACATATTAATAATGATAAACCAGTCATCAATACAACCCCAAATTCGCAATACCAGCTTTGTATTCCTGTGATTAAGCATAATTTTTTTTTCTGTACTTTTTTTTTATTTGCCCACATGCACTAATTTGGGGGTCTTCAAAGGATGTCATCTATAAAATTACGTCAGTGTGGCCTTACAAGTACACCCACGTGTTTTACTGTTACTGCAACATTACACAATAGAAAAACTTATGTCCTTGCACCAGCAGTACAGTAAATGGTTCCACCTCTAAATTGTTGGCACCCCTATTTCCAACAACTCTATGTCACAATGTAGGGGTTAGAGAATATAGGGGTATCAGAACACAGGTATGTACACAGTTATCTTGACAGTTCATCTGTGTCGATATAAATCATTATGAAGCCAATTTAAACTGTAATTTCCAACACAACAAATTGGACTCTCCCAAATTTTTGACTGTACAACTCCAGTCCTTGTCAAGGAATGAGCAATCCACCGCTTCCGTGACGTCACGCAGATAACACACGTGACTCCGTGAGCAGTGGATGATTGACATCACGGAAGCGGTGGATTGCTCATTCCTTGACAAAGACTGGAGTTGTGCAGTCGAAAATTTGGGTGAGTCCAATTTGTTGTGTTGGAAATTACAGTTTAAACTGGCTTCATAATGTACACAGTGGATTGACCTATGGATATTGTTGTGTATTCCAGGCCCCAGCTATTGTGGTGTATGATGGGAGGAAGGCCACTGCTCTAAGGCCAGGCATGCGAGCTGTGCAGCAGCCTGACGGCAGCATCAAAGTGGTCAAGTCAGGTGGGTTCATCAGAGCTGTTTACACTTTAACATCGCAATAATAACTAGAGTTCCACGATCTCATACCTTCGCCAAATGATGTTAGCTTTTATGATTAAGAAATTATATATTAATCCCCCTAATTATGCAAATAGGATCCTCAATTGCATGAATTATATCTGTTGATCATATTCTCCACTAAAAGACAGTCTTATCTTAACAAAGAATGCCATGATGACACTTTCTCATAAATTATGCAAATGAGGTCCTTATTTGAATAAGTTATGTTTAATTATGTTCACCTTAACTTAACTTTCAAACACCCCAAGTATAAAATTCCAGGCAGTTACCACTATGCAATTATAATATTTTCTCATTAATTATGCAAATTAAGTCCATATTTGCATAATTGTAATATCATTATGTCAAGCATCACTCAAGCTACCTACATACCAAAAATCACGATGATCCATCAATCGGTTCTTGAGTTATCCGCCTTTAAACATTTGTCCATTAAACCCCCCTGCAGTTCTAGAGCAAGCAACTAGGGGGCTCAAACTCATGTCACTTTATCCCCAGCACAAGAGCTATCTACCATCCAACTTTCGTCACCCTAGCATGTCTGGATCATGAGATATCAAAACCGGAAGTTCTGCTGCAGTACCATGACAAGCCGCCAGGGGGCCCAAAATCTAATCATTTTGAGGTCTCATCAAGACCTACCCACCTACCAAGTATCAAGACAATCCATCAAGGCCTTCTCAAGTTATAGTGTTTACACACACACACACACACACACACATACACGAACGCCCCTGAAAACATAACCTTCTTGGCGAAGGTAATAAACAGCGTCCAGGACTTCCAATTTAATTCCGGACTACTTCCCATATCTCAGCAACCTTACATCTAGATTACATTACAGCTAAATGTCGTTAACTACAGGTAAAAATGATGTAAGAAATAATACGTACCAGCCATCAAGGACCCCTTGGGGGTTAACCCAATTCTGCAGAATTCTGGCTTCATTTCCAGAATTCTGTAGAATTCTGGCTCTGGTTCCTAGAATTCTGACTCCAGTTCCAGAATTGGGTTAACCCCTAAGGGGTCCTTGATGGCTGGTACGTATTTCTTACATCATTTTTACCTGTAGTTAACGACATTAGCCCATCTAGATGTAAGGTTGCTGAGGTATTGGGAAATAGACTGGATTTAAACTGGCCTGTCCAAATTTAATCCGGATGCTGTTAATAATAGTCAGAGTGGTCAGCTCATAACCAAGGGGTCCTGGTTCGATCCCCCAACATCCCCAATGTTGTGCCGTTGGGAAAGGCACTTCTCACAGCTTGCTTTGTTGTATGGTGCAGTGATGCTACTGCAAAGCAATGTCAACGATGGGTAAAATCTGGGTAAAAATGACAGAAATAAGCAAATGCATAATGTTTACCTTCGGACATGGTCTGCACCGTTAGTTCTTACTCAAACACATTTACATACATGTACTGTATATGGTGACAGGAGCAGAGCAGACCATGAAATTGCAACATTATGGAACCCAACACCAGTCACCATGGTGACAGACGTCAACAAGTCATGTCATTGGTCAGGTCATAGGTCACTGTTTGGAGAAGAAGAAGAGGAAGAAACTGAGCAAAAACAATATATTTTCCTTCGGTAAACATAATAAGCATCTTAGAAGTCTTTTTTTCTTCACAGGCAAACCCCATGAGGGTGACAATGACCAGACCAACCCAGAGAAAGAACCCATGAACGTGTAGACCGGTAGAAGCAGTTTCCATCTCTACTGAGAGGGTTCAGTTTACCAGCCAGACTCAACACTTTTCAACAACTGCAAAGGAGACTGGTGCTACTAAAGCTACAAGATGATCTTATAAGTATAAGCCATATTGTTGCCATTTTTTTAGAGTAGTAAAAAAAAGCAGCAACATTTATTTGTTGTAAAAGAAGTTGTTTTCCAGCCATATTTTGTAAGAGCAATTTTGGTAAGTTAGTGTTAGGAATGGATGGAAGCTTGATGTGCCTTACATTTGCAAAGTTATGTGTACTACAATGTAAATGTATTGCCAATTTTGTAGGAACCAAATAAGTAATGTTACATTTGTCAACGATCTTTCACCCTCAACTGTTGATAGTCTTAAACACAAATGAAATTGTCTTCAATCTTCCATGTGAAACATCAAAAACTGACTTGCATTCAAAACTTAAAATTCTCTTTATAGTAACCTGAAAAATTGACCCTAATTATAGTATGATATAGTATCTCAAGTATTTTTTTTTAATCTGCACAGAAATTATAGCTGCCACTAGCTGTATTTCTGAGCTTGTAACAAGTGTTATTTTTGCACAAGTGTTATAATATGGCAGTTTCCATAGTTTTAATACTTTTTTTATATTGTTTTTTTTTATTGAGTATATTGATGTTTATTGTAGTAATACTAAGCAAGCATTCCATAGTTGCCAGACGTAGGGATAAACCAATGATTTTAGCAGGGAAAGGCAATGTTCGCCCTACTTACCTACCAAACTAGTAACATCCGTGTCCATAATATCACCAGGGTCATCGCCACCTTGAGAAAAAGTGTGCTTAAAGATATTTTCACTGCAACATACCCTAGGTATGTACATTTGAGGTGTGCAGGAGTGCATACCAAAAGTATGTCGCAGTAAAAATATCTTTAAGCACACTATTTCTCATGGTGGCGATATTATGGACCCTGGTGATATTATGGACACGGATGTTAGTATTTTGGGGACTTTTTAACCACCACTATTCCAGCAACGGTTTTTGTCCCACGCAACATTCAAGTTCTATGCATCTGTTCTCCAGTTGACACGGTGGCACAAACACTGGACAAAGAACGAAAGATCTACCACTTATCGATAAAGTTCTTTCTCAAACAATATGACCTACATGTAGCATCCAGTGTCTCTATGCTTCACCACTCTTCATGTATTATCAGGGCTTTTACATATGCATTCCAGTATAATATAGGCTTTAGTAAAATAGATCAAAGGAGAATATCACAGAGCAGCTAAACTCCCTAACAAGGAATGGCTTTAAAGGTTTAAAGCCTTCAGAAATTTAAAGATTTGCCTTTGTACAGCACTCGCTTTATACTGACGTACTTTCAGATAGTTTGTTTAATGGTATAGTAGTTAGGGATGTTGTTACAACTTGCAGGAGCATGTTTAAAGGTTTTAACTTCCATTGTAAGGCCACACCAATTTATTTTGTTGCTTCTCGGATTGCCCTGTCCATTTTTTTATTATTTACAAAAAAACTTTTTTTGTTCTAAATTAACTGCAAAATGCTCAATGAAAGAGATATTTTGGCCCCAAACGGTTGAAGAAAGTCATTTTCTTCCTTACTTCTTAAATTTTTTCAATGTAACAATGCAATTTTGTTTCATTGATAGTTCAAAATGTATTGTTTTAATGATAAACCAGCCTGGTATGTTCAGTTCATGGCTCATATTGTAACATTTCCGGCTAACATGGGTTTCCTTGGCCTGTTTTTTTTTTAATTTTTTTATTTCGCCTTGTCGCTTCATATTTTTTCTGAAAAAAATCTGAGAAACAACAAATTAAATTGGTGTGGCCTAATGGACGTTAGTTGGTAGTTTGCCAAATGATGTAGAGCTCAACCATCACCAAGGCTAGAAAAGGAGCTTGTAGCCGTAAAGAGAAGCTTGGAAACTTGCAGGAAGTGGTAGGAATTTCTTGTAAGGTTTTATCTCTAACAATAAAGTAACATGAAAAAAAGATGTTTGTATTGTTGTGTTTTTTTCAATGCTGGAGTGTTGGAAAGGTATCTCTGACCTTTACTTTTGGAGAAGACAGGTGGTACTAGTAAGTGCGATTGTTACTAATACACCTAGGCCTATAGATTTTCAAATATTCCCAATCTTCCTCTTTCTGAAATAAGGCCAAAGCAAGTAAATTTTATGGATGACATCCTCCACAGACTTCAAATCTAATGCCAGCGGGCAAAAAAAAAGGCGGTCCGAAAAAAAACAAGGTTCCTACAATTAAAATTTTGACTCAATTATTGTACAAATGGTTTTGATTCAGTGGGAACATCACATATACACAGCCAGCATCACATATCACTGCATCAAAGTAAGAAACAAAACATTAAATCAGAGCCTTTTTTTGTCTCCTCTCATCATAGTTATCTGCCATCCACCTTCTGGCATGGCAACAGACATCTTTGCCCATTTTTGGCATATTGACCACTGTCAGAAGACAACAAAATTTCTTTTTTTTTTCCAAAATCAGGCGAAAATTAATGCGCGCGCTGATGTCATCCACAAAAATTACTTGCTACGGCCTAAGCAATAGATACTCTGCCTGAACTTGGACGAGATCAAACCACAGGACAGAGACAAGTGGCGTGCTGCCATCAAGCCCCAGTTGTACTGTGCAAGCACGTCTAACCCATAGAAGACGGGGAACAACAACTAGACGATAAACCAGACAGTGAGTGAGTGAGTGAGTATATATAAGTAAATAGCATCAAAGGACTCAGAAGTATAATTTTTCAAAAGAGACAGCCCAACAAAATTCCTTACGTCCTACACTCTGCTTGGAGAGTACATGTTGAAGTTGTTTACACATTCTAGTCTGGTACTGTCTAATCTAATGCCAAGATCTGTCAGACATTCTGGGGATGACAAAATAAACACATGGACACACAGGGATATATGGGGAACCTCAGGGCTGACCTGCAACTGTCTTACACAAACACCATAGATTAGATGGCTGTAGTTAAGGGATAATTAATACAATTAGACAAAAACAGGTTGGCTATCACATTTATTACCGGTACCATTTCAGTACAACTCACTTTAAGACGAGATGACACCATTAACACTCAAATACCACAGTTTGTTGGAACAGTGAAACGAGATAGGTATTATGAAAAACTTAAACTGTTCTCCAACTCAAAATTTGACTCACCAGAAATTTTCGACTGAATCACTCAGTCTTCCTCAGTTATGTGACCCAAATGCTGTGGACACGTGATTTTTCCCACGTGTGACGTCAGCAAAGGGTCAAAGGTTGTCTGAAGTCGATATCGCCCCCTGTCCCGGTTGAGGAAGACTGAGTGATTCAGTCGAAAATTTCTGGTGAGTCAAATTTTGAGTTGGAGAACAGTTTAAGTTTTTCATAATGTAATTTACCAACTCAGATGAACTTTCATACTGAGATAGGTATTATTCAATGAACAAAGATGTTTGGCCCAAAAGTACACTCTTCTAGTATTAAGGAACAACATTATTTACGAGAAGTGGTGCCAGGTTCCGAATTGGCTTGTATTTCAGTGTTATTGGTGTATGTCATCCGGTCTTTAAAGGAACAATAATAGGCATGTTGATCTGCTTACATATCTCAGAGTAGTGGCATTTCTGCCATTTTCTGTATCTGTATCTGTATAGCCGGTATAACCGCCTTTTGTGTAACACACCAGCAACAATGTACATTTTACTGCATTTAAATACCCATGAAAACACAAGCAAACACACAAACAAACACAGCAGGTAAACAAAGAAACAAACCCACTTAAAAATTCAGGATGCTAGCTGGCTTTACACAAAATTTTTGGATCACAGATTTCCCTATTGATTATGTTTTGCTTCAGTCCCCCGTTTTTAAAATAAAATCTTATCCTCTGGCTTTAAAGTTTTTATTTGATGTGTCCGAGAACCATAAAAAGGAGTGGCCTAAAAATGCTTCCTTTCAATCAGGGCTCGAAATACTGGGTGCATGTGCACCTTAGTGCACCCAAAATTGGAGCTGTGCACCCAATTCTTTTCTGTGGGTCCACTGGTGCACCCAAACATTTTTGGAAATATTTCTGTACATATTAAATGATAGTATGCAAAATAATAAAATCTTTGTTGTAGTACTTGTGTAAGATTTTGAAGTTAGCTCCCATTTTAGATTCAAGCTTAGAAGAGCTCAGCAGTAATTTGTTCTGTATGGTGCACCTAATTTTTAGGTTGGATGCACCAGTGCACCTATTCCCAAAAATGAATTTCGAGTCCTGATTTCAGCAGCACTTCGGCAGAAGTACTGCACCTGCGCAAAACCTGTAATGTATTGTACATAGCACTTCGGCAGAACGTCTCATATAAGGTCATATTTGCGCATATAAGGTTGACACTCCGTCTGTAGTTTCCAAATGTTATGTCGGAAAAGATATCCTCTGCAACATGCAAAATTCTGATGCAACGTTGACCAAAAATCCACAGAACACTGTGAAAATACAGGGTTCTCCGCAGGCGCAGTACGTTCTGCCGACGTGCTGTTTTCAGCAACACCAGATCCAGATGGTCATGCTGTAATTTGCATCTGTTTTAGTGCAAGTCCGGGAGACTCCAACATTTCCAGATATTCGGGGGTGTCCCTCTTCATGAAGAGGGTGATGCCGGACCTGTATGCCGCCGGGATCCTGACGTGGGTCCTGGTCAGCTGAGCCAGCTGGATGTCACCCTTGTACGCCAGTAAAGTCTCCATCATCATCTCCATACATTGTTCTACACAGGAGAGAGTACAGTGCACAACATGGCATACAATGAACAATCCTGAATAATTCAATCAGGTTGAATGACATCAGAAATACCTGCACAGCTCCAATTTTACCTGCACTAACCTGCATATACCCAGTACATGGACCAGTGCAGGTTAGGTGCAGGTAGACATCAGAAATACCTGCACAGCCCCAATTTTACCTGCACTAACCTGCATACTAGTCTACCCAGTACATGGACCAGTGCAGGTTAGGTGCAGGTAGACATCAGAAATACCTACACAGATCCAATTTTACCTGCACTAACCTGCATAGATTTTTTGTATAAAAACTGCCTACTTTGTCATTGAATAAAAAGTTATCTCTTAATTTTTCCCCTTGAAATCCTTTCAAAAATGCAAGAAATGCCTTTTCAGAAGGTTCATTTTTCAAAATTTCCCGGGGGAGCATGCCCCCGTACCCCCCTAGGAACCTCACGCCTTTGGCGCTCGCCTCGTGCCTTCAGCACTCGCTGGTTCCTCAAGCAGTGGGAAGAAACCCCCCATTCACAATCCTGGCTACGGGCATGAGGAAGGACTTAAAATAACTAACTAAACCTTCACATGCAGGTGGTATTTTGAGCGCTGACAGCTGAACCATGCTCACCTGCCACCCGCATGTCCTGCCACCTGTTGCTCCACCTGGAGTCCCCACCTGTCTCCAGCAGGTTCAGGTCTGCTCCGCTGCACCTGGTCACAACGTCAGCCTGACGGACCAGCAGGACTGACTCACTACAGATGTGGTGTTTGAATAACTCCATCTGCATGTGGTAGTCAACAAAAAATCTGTCATGAAAGTTCATCTATGTTGGTAGTTACTGTTATACCAGTCTTTGACCCAGTGTTGACGTCACACTTCAAAGAAGCCAAGTGACAAGCTTCACTGGGTCAGTCTACTGAGGAAGACCAGAGTGACTGGTCGAAAGCTCTAGGTGAGAGAACTTTTCTGTGTTGGACCAAAAGTTTTAACTTTAAACAATAAAACATCTGACATTTCTAACTTTGGGGGTATTACCTACACTATAAAACCTCAGCATATGCAGGTGGTATTTCAAACCCTGGAGCCATTACCGTTTCTGTGATGAGTGGGTTGACCATGTGGACTCCCTCCGGACCAACCCCAAAAATCATCTGGTGGTGCCAGGCATCGGGGATAGGTTCACCTGGGGACACGCCTCTCTGCATGTTCATAGTGGCAATGGGAACTGCACCTACAAGAAATCACAGAGTTCAGAAGTTTCAGAAGTTCAGGACTTCAGCTCAGTTCACTGAAGAGCTACTCTTCCACTGGTTGTGACAGGGAGAGAGAGAGAGAGAGAGAGAGAGAGAGACAGAGAGAGAGAGAGAGAGAGAGAGAGAGAGAGAGAGAGAAACAGAGAGAGGACAGATGCTATGTACATCATACTGTAAGAAACAGGAGGAGTGAGTAGAAACAGATAAAAACCCCTGGTCCCGGGTCGGGGTTCAAACCCAAGACCTCCCAAGCACCAGCTCAGACTTCGATGCTCTAACCACTCGGCTAAAAGGTCTAGACCCATCGGCCGGGTCAGTTGGTAGCGCCTAAAGCCCCCACTGTTACAATACTGAGGAAATTCCCCTTAGTCTTTTTGTCAGATACAGTGAAGAGTGGATCATGGATCATGGAACCCAAACATACAACCCCCAGAAACAGTGCCACCCAACACAATACTTCCATCCAAGAAGCAAATACAGAACATCAGATTATCTAACCTTTTTCAATCCAGTGCCCAAGCCATTGCACCAAATTCACTTCTCTCTCCGGATGGAAGTCAAAGAACCTTCCCACAACTCTACCATTAGTGAGTGTTGTCATTCCCTTTATCAAATCCTGAACAAAATCAAGAAGAAGATGTTAAAACAGAGCAACAAAAAAATAAAAGAAAAAAGAAATAAATAAAATACAAGCACTACAATGATCTGTATCTGTATAGCTGGTATAACTGCCTTTCGGCATAACACACCAGCTGATGATGATATATTCTCCCTCTTGAATTTATCATTAAATGTTGCCAGGATCAATTTAATTGGGTGCGGTATTAAACCACTTCCTGAATTCTTCCACATACTACCATCAAGATTTTCGCTCTGCAACGCCTTAAAAAATCACATCTGCGACCGCTGGTGTTGCAGATTGAAAATCCAGATGATACCCAGGCTACCGAAATATACCTGCATACCTGGAGGTATTTAACGAAGTTATAACTAGCTCTGATGCCATACCTGGTGCACGGTGCCAGCCACACTTCTAGAGAAGAGGTACTGGGGGAGGGGGGCGTCCTCCTCTCTTAGGCGTGTGTCAATCGTCAGGTCTGCAGCCTCAGGGTCACATGGGATGCCAAGAGCTGACTGAAACACAACAAGGATGAATTCTTTGAAAAAGTCTCAGGTACACATGTAGATCAGTCAAAGTACAGCAGTTACCACGAGAATTGCAGACCACCCAATCCTTAAAGTCCTTCAAAAGTGGTCCTCTCAGTTGGACAAGGTACACTCACCAAGACATTAATGACTGCGGTGGCTCCACATGCAGAGACCCCTATCTGTTCGACCTGGCGCTGCAGCGCTTCTTCCAAGGACCAGATCATCACACTGTTGTGGGAGGGGGGTGTACATCTCGCCAAAGGATCCTGGAGGCACGAGTTCAAAGCAAATCAAACAATCAGTTCATTTTTTTACATTGCTCTATGATTCTATTGTCAAGGGTACACGGCGGTCGGTTGCTAGGCTAAAAGTCGCATTACTAGGGAGGTATCGGGTTACAGAACGTGTTCGAACGTGGCCGCGCGGGAGTCCCGGGCCGGCCCGGGGGCAACGGGTAAAATTTGAAAATAAACAAAAGTAATTGGAGAGTAAATACTCGTCAAAATAAAATGTAATAAGTGATTTTGTTTACCTCAAATGTTATTCTTGCACTGCCTTTGCTACACTTTGTGTACATTTGCTTCCAAATGAGATCAATTTCGGATTTCAAAAAGGGTTCACGAGAACCAAACAACTGATTTTAAGAGGCCCCGAAAATTAAAAATAAGGTTAGATTTTTGGATTTTTAGAAATATTACAGTAAATTTAAACTTTCTGTCTTAGGATTTTTTATTTTTTAACTAAAACTCGACTTACAGTCAAAAGAAGAGCTAAAAACGCAGTGTTTTAACTTTAAATACCGATAATTCATAATCGCGGCCATATTTAAAAAATCCCTAAGACAGAAATCTGCGGAAATCGTTCCTCTTCCAAACAAGACCTCAATGAGGTAATTTGAGCGATTTTTGGGAATGGTTAAAATACCATGTTTGCACGCATGCTGTGCCACTTGGATATGGGGACCTGGATTTTATAACAGCGTCAACAAGAATTCTGACCTTCAAGGTCACCCGCGATGACGGCAGTAGCTTCGTTACATGTTACATATCCACAATAAAATCACGGCATAGATGTAATGTTTTGAAAACGGTTCATATTTGTGGAAAGGTGGATTTTTCCTGTTCCGTGGTTTCCAAGTAAAAAAGGGCTTGAAGTAGCCGGTTGTAGCGGCTTTACTGTAAATGACCGCGGGTAACCCCAGATCGAACGCCCGCTCTATTCGAATGACGTCATATCGAACAAGATTCGCGGGTTCGGGGGATTCGATCTCCATAGTAGCGGAGTGGGACTTTTGGGCCCAAATCTGACCATCGTGTATCTCTATTTCAAACCATATAATTTGGGCCAGATTGGCACCTGTTTAAAGTCTTTTGTTCCATCGCAAGGGATTGTTCTCACCTAGAGCTTTCGACCAGTCACTCTGGTCTTCTTCAATAGACTGATCCAGTGAGACTTGTCACATGGCTTCTCTAAAGTGTGACGTCTACCTGACCAAACAATTCTACTCTACTCTAGTAACACTAGGTCAAATTAGGTATCCAAAACAAAAGCTTTATAAACTTTGAACAAGTCACTACCAACACAGATAAACTTTCATGATATATACTACCAACACAGATAAACTTTCATGATATGATAATCATATCATGAAAGTTTATCTGTGTTGGTAGTGACTTGTTCAAAGTTTATAAAGCTTTTGTTTTGGATACCTAATTTGACCTAGTGTTAGTAGAGTAGAGTTACAATTGTAGGCACCTTTTATGTCAATCCTTCCACAAATGTGGTAAATGTCAATAAACTATATAGATATAATCCAACCTCTTCTTCATTCTTCGTTTCTTCTTGAGGATTTCTTTCAGATCTTGAGTCTGTTCCTGGACTTGTGTTCACATCTTCATAAGAGACAACTTCTTCCACACAATCTTCAAAGTCCTCCTCACCGTCAGAAGCAATGTCCACCATGTTATTTGCTCGAGAACTTGTCGCCATACTTCCACAAAGAATACCTGTTGGAGGAGTAAAATTTATAAGAACTTAGGCCACACCGACTTAATTTTATGGATGACATCCTCTGAAGACCCCCAAACTAGTGCGCACAGGCGAATGGAAAAAAATACAGGACAAAAATAAAAATGCTACTAAACCACAGGAATGCAAAGCTGGTATTGTGAATTTACGGCAGTACATAGCGACATATACGACAAGCCGGCACATGCCGGCTTTTTGCAGAATTAAATCGGCACTGTCCATCCTCCATAGTTACCACTGGCTCCATATTGTCGCTAACTACCATGGACTACGGAGGACGTGATCTTTGTTCTTTTTTTAAGAACAGGAAAAAACAATGCGCGCGAGGATGCCATCCAAAAAATTAAGTCGGTGTGGCCTTAGGTTCAAAATTATGACTGTGCGTGGCAGTATTAAAGGTAAAGGCCCCAGAAAGTCGAACACAAAACAGTATGGTCTGACAGTTATCATTTATTCCCTTTAATAGAGTTAGAAAACGTGCATTGTTCACAATCAGATTGTCACTCAAAAGCCAAATAAAACATACTGCAGCGACCATTTCACATGCACACGATGTACTTTTCTATCAACATCAAATTAGTATATTAATTTTTGTCCCAGGGCTCTGTTAGTGGGGGAGGGGGGCGCAAGGCTGGTGAAAATTTTACCTTTATTTTTAGATCCCAGATGCAACTTATCAACAGAATTTAAGCATTACATATTCTTATACTATTTGATCCTCCAATTGAAGAAACAAAATTGCAGCAAACTGTTGTAAAAACATCACAAAAGAAAGAAATCGTCAAATTTTAAAAGTTAGTCAGGCTAGCAGACGCCCCTTGCATGTCCATAGGTTAAAGGTTAACAATCTAGCCCACAATGCACTTCTCAAGATGGCGTGTCAGAATTAGTGACTCTGTCCTTGCGAGAGATCTTGAAGTTTATCACACTTTTTCCACCCCAAAATAGCCAGTTTTGGCCTTTATTCTAACATCAGCGGCAAGAGGACACCTTTCTTACACTACCAGCGGAGTGTGGGACAATCTAAAGATGTAAATCGTGGAGAAATGCAGGTAAGTTTGGGGAAAATTCACCGAGGCTTTTGTTTTTGCACATGGCTTGCGAATTTCCATAAACATCCGCATAGGAATATATAAACAAACGTGGATACAGGAACGAGTTTTGGTTTTTTACAGTCGTTGTAACCTTGACGATAATACATTGGCTTGTTTATAACTGCATAGCCCCTACGATATTTGGTACAAAACTATCTAACTTTTGAGTGATGTGTATCGTTGTAAATCGTTTTTTTTTTTCAAAATCATGTGTTCTCATAAAATTATTTTCTGTTGCAAATAATATTTTATGGAAGAAGTGATATCACAAATCAATATATAGCTTCAGTGTGTAGTAGATTTGTATATAGCTTCAGTGTGTAGTAGATATTGTACTTAACTAGTATAACTGTCACTGTATATCTTTGTTCACTTTATTGATATATCGTTACCTGTGCTCATACATATGCAAGAAATTATAAGATAAAATTATATGGATGATGTTGAAAATATCAGTCCCTGGTGCATATATTTTAAGTTCTACATGATTTTATGCAAATGAAGGTAAAATATATTCTATACAGGGGTTCAGCAAGACCGATTTAAACTGGAACAATTTCGTGAACCGAGAAAAAAATCAAATGCGAAAACTGGATCAACGGACCTGATGTGCATTTTCATAGAATGTGCACACATCTTTAAATAATCTTGCCATGGCAGGTAAAGAAAATAACCCTGAATCAAACAAGCCTAAATGAGCTTTCATTAGAATAGCCTAACTCCATGTCTGTCTCTTTCTGTAACTGTGTTAGTAACTTAGTACCACAAGGAATTTGAAGTGACACATGCGCTCAATTCTTTGGTTCGTCGTGGTTGTAGGGTGCATGTTCCTCAAACAAATAAGGCTGCTCAAGCAAGGATTTGACCAAAGATATTTAACCTGTTGTTTTAAGCATGGGGGTACAAAAATGACTAGGAATGACGATGTAATCTAGTTACTAAAAGATAGTCGCAGTGCTTGTGTTCCGTCCGTAAAATGTGTCGTCTTTACTACATGTCTCCCTGCATTTCATCGAAGTAATCCTCAAAATTTGATACAAACTTATCGTGGAATCAAAGATGCTACACTTATAGTTCTAGATCTAGTTCTATATGATACTGGGCAAAGCCCTATCTAGTCGTCAGTGCTGGACATGCCGTCTTGTCACTGACATGAATAACAATGGAAAACTCTGGTGTGCCGCGCCAAGGGCTACGCAAATCAGGGCAATTGACAAGTTCCTGCCAATTACAGTTTTGACGCTCACAGCCAACATAGAACTTACATTACAATAGGCAGAAATTTTGAGCTCTCTCCTTCTGATCTTTTAACTCCATGGTGAGAGTGACCTGTACTTGTGTTTCGCACTCCAAAATATGATATTGTAATGTAAAACTTTAGAATAATCAGGTGCAGGTTTAGGTGCAGACCTGGACCTGAATTTTCTATACAGGTACGCACCCCTATTCCTGTAGTAAGACAATACCATAGGAACTGCCACTGAAAGTTTGGCCCTGTCCATATATAGTGACTCCATACCACTACCAGACCACACATATTTACCGTCATAAGTGAGGATAAATGGTATTAAACTGTAACCATTTGAATTCTGCCCTGAATTTAGCCTTGAAATTTGCCCAGTGTGAACACATCAACCGGTTCATACTCATAGCGTTTCAACTGGTTCTTTTCTAAAACCACCCCAGGTAGGTGCTTGCCCCATCGAAAAACTTGCTACATGCTACACAATCAATCCATGTTATGTGATGTTATGAAAATATACTGGTATTTCAGGGTTTGCCTTTTTTGATATGTTAGAATGCAAACAAAGTTTGCCATTGGAATGGCTTATGTCCAGCCAAAGTATAGTACAGCTCATATAAGTCATAATACCTGCAGCAGGAATTTACCCTTTCCAATTTTTCCTGAAAGCTTGGCTGTGAAATCAATTTACATGTCAGGGCTGGAAATACTGGGTGCAATTTTTTTCTGTGGGTGCACCCATATATTTACGTAGGTTTACATATGTAAAGATGCGAAATGTATAGTTACTTTACATTTATACTATAGTAGTATACACAGGGCTCGAAATTCATTTTTGGGAATAGGTGCACTCAGGTGCACCCAATTGGGTGCACAAAAATTTTTTGGGTGCACCATGTTTGGGTTTAGACCAATGGTATGCACTGAAATATAATGACTTTATTTTTTTCTGACACTCGGATGTTATTAACTTAAGAATATATTGTATAATATTACTATACATTGGACATCTTTACATACGTACACCTATGAAAATATTTGGGTGCACTAGTGCACCCACAGAAAAAAATTGCCAACCAACATGCACCTAGCCTGATTAAATCGCTTTTGCCGGCCGCCCAACATCCAGCCGGCCCCCGAACTATGTAGGGAGCCCCCCGGAGCTTGGGTTACATAGGCTAACATGCACCCAGTATTTCGAGCCCTGATACAGCATATTCTTTAACATCTGTTAGAAAAATAATTAAATTACTGTTATACTTATAGTACTTTTCTTTAGATATGAAATATAATTAGCTTTCGCAGATATTCTACTTGAAAAATATTTTGTGCGACTAATTTTGAGGTTGGGTGCACCTATTCTCAAAAATGAATTTCGAGCCTTGCAATTGTACATGTAAACCGTGCCTACCAGATTAAAAAGAAAGCACGTACATTGTATTGAGTGATGGGACAGTGTCTGCGGAACCATTTGAAGCTGATATTGCCCAGGAAGTGGTAGCAGCATGGGACTGGTTTGTATTGGACAGAAACGGTCGGAACTTTGAAGTTAGATTGATATAAAGTGCTGGGGTTGTTACCTCTGATGGAGGACTTGGGTGGATGAGGGCCTGCATGGGGGGTAGTGACTATGAATTACGCAAAATTTTCTCCGCCGATTACGAATTACATTTAAGTCTCAGAGCTGATTACAACTTTACGGCTAATGTACTATTACGAATTACGTTGATTTTTTTGGGAGGCTGCCTACGAATTACGAAGATTAAAAAGGTCTGATTACGCCTTACGAAAAAGGGCATGCAGGCCCCCGTGGATGTTTTGGCAGTGTTTCATGGAAAGGCTTAAAAAACAGACCACTGTGTGGCTTGTAAACTTTATTCAAAAGAGGTCTGTTTCTTTTTAGATTCAACCATTTTACTGTATTGTTCATTGGCCGCCCCTAGAATAGACACAGCAGATTCTTCACTATGGTACAAAAGAGGGGATGGGGATTTGTGCACGCGAAAAATTTTCGCTTGAACAATCTGCGCATGAAAATATGCAAATTAGCCAATTCCTAAGGGACTTGAAAAGTTTTTGTTGTTTTAAGCTTAAAAGTTGGAAGAAAAAGACATACATGTATGACAGAATTGAATATCATTTTGTTGCATTCTAGACTACATAGCTTTCTTTTGTCAATATTTCAGTGATTTTCAATTAGTGAATTAAGTTTTCACGTGCAAAAAAGGTTGAAATTTGCACAAATTTCCGCAAATTTACTAAAATATGAAAGCAAGCTTCTAGAATGGAGAAAAGCTTCAAATTGTTACAATTTACTCTCACCTCTCGAATAAAAGTACCCCCTGGAATAGAAGTACCCCCCGGACAAATCTTCAAAATCTAATAAAAGTACCCCCTGGAATAAAAGTACCCCCCGGAAAATTTGACATGTAAGCAACGTCTATGCTCCAAAAATGTGTTCTCATGGTGTATATATATATATGTGTGCGTCTGTATGACCTTGTCACTTGCAATTATTGACAGGTCCTGAATAAACATACCCCCTTGAATACGATTCCCCCAACAAATCTTCAAAACTTTATGAATATCAGGAATCTCCCCAGAAATTCAGAACAAGGTGGAGGAGGGTGCGAAGCGCGTTGCGGGGGGTGGTCTGGAGCTATTGCATTTTGTCTTTTCCAAACACAAATGGAGGTCATTTCATGCAACTTCAGTTCTACATTTTCTGTACAATTGCAGATGTATAAGGCAGGAGAAAGGTTCAAGATCTGTACTTAATTATCCTCTTCATGTTCAAAAAAAAAAAGTTCTATTTAGTATTACTATTAGCACCCATAATTTTGAAAAAAATTGGGCATAGGTTCCCCGGATGACCCCTAACCGGGGGCCAACGGTGCTTCCACAAGTTCAACAAGTGAAAAATACATGATACAAAATGTACATGTATTTACTACCTCGAACTTGGAGCAAGTTATTCCAAAGATGTTACTGAAATTAATATATTAAAAACTAAACCAAATCCTATTTCCCAAACAAATCACATATTGACACAGCTGAACAAACGAAAATGTGACCATGTCTATAAACTCCACTCAAAAACAATTTTTGAGAGACATTCGGGTCGCGGTGCTAAGCGTGATAATCTCTAATATCTCATCTGATTCTCCCAATATGTAAAGGGTCTTTACAATGACAGCATCCAACCGCACATACATAGAAACAACAATATTACAGAAGAAACCAATAAATTTGGAAAATTTCTCAGTAATGTTTAAAATTATCCTTATTAAAATATAAGTGAATTTTTTTCGGTTGTAGCTGAAAAAATTTTTTCATGCGTTTAAAGTATCGTTTTAGCACTGTAATATGTACTTAGTACATGGCTTATACATTTGGATGCTATCTTGACCTTTGACCACTGTTATTGTAAAAGCAGGTCGGCCATGTTGGCCCCTGTTGTCTTTCTCGCCGTGAATTTTCGAGCCGTTTTTTCGTGCAAATTTCAACCATTTTAAACATTTTACGGCCTCAAAAACTCATACACCGAGGAAAACAAGTTGTAGTTGTTATTTTCATGCGTAACATTTCTTCTGGGGATGGTTTATTTTTCATAGACGAGCTGCCGAAAACTAGCGTCATGCCGCAACCAGGTCGGCGCTGCGTCCGGCGGGAGTTTTATTTTTATCGGTGAGCTTTCACGATGTAAACAAAG